CTTACAATGTATTCATTGCGATGGTCTGGTCCTTGATTGTCCTGCGTGCTGACTGCGCTGCGGCTGGTCTCACTGCTAGGCTCGATTGATTGTCGTCTTGTCCCGCTTGTCCTGATCTCCTTCTGTTGATCCTGACGTGGTTGCACTTGAGGTCCGCTGATGTACTGACTTTGGGTTGATGCCAAAATTCTTCCTTCAGGTGACCCCACACCTGACACCAAAAACGTGTAGTGATCCCTCACTAACGCTTATATTTGAGTGACCGACGTCTGTAGTTGGACCAGGTTGATCAAAAGGAATAAGGTTTTTCGAAGAGAGACAAAGGCGCAATGTTAAATGAAGTATTTATTATAATTGAGTTAAACTTGTTATAAAATAAAATAAAATAATTGTTACAAAATGTTAGAGAAGTTTGAGGACAGCACGTTAAGTAACTGCCCGAGAACTTAGTTAAATCTACTTGTAGTTACTGGGAATGCACTTAGCCTGGCGGCGATGTAGAGTGCGCGGACTCTACGACCAGGTAAGTACTACATGTAGGGATGTGAGACTAATTCTGATTCTAAGGTGTACAGAGACTCATATTTATATGGTTCTCTGTACTCCCTGTTATACACGGTAGAGACTAGGAGGTGGACAAAAGGCGAGTCGGCAGCTTGTTGTTTATTGTAGCTGCCGAAAAGTGGTTTGCGACCAAAAGGTAATAAAAATTTGCAATATCATTTTAACTGGTTCTTCTCACGTCTTTGATTCTTGGAACTCGTAAAACGCAATAGTGTTTGTGTAGACCATATGCCTTGCATTGATAGTTCCGAGAATCCGCAATAACATATTAAAATGTGAAGGCCGTGGCTTTAATGTAATAAAGTAAAAAAAATAGTGAATCGACACCGTCGGTTTACTACAATAACCAATCACTATAATTTATTTTAAAATTAAGAATTAAACTATTCTAGTATTCTGAACGTACATAGTTTGTTATATTAAGCATGTTTAGGTAAGTCGTAAGACTTAACGACTGTTACAACACATGGCAGGTGTGACGTCCCCTAGATTATCATTTCTATTGTACCTACTACCAGTGGCGGCTCGTGAGGTTCACGTAAAGTGGTGCACAAAAAATGTATAAGATATCTATGTTAGATGGTAAAAAAATTTATTTTGGTATAGGAACATACCACGAATAATACCAAAATAATGTACCTACTTATCTTATCTAAATTAAATTTTTTAAGCATTTTACCCCATTAAAATATAAATTAAATTATAAAAAATTATCAACTACTTATTATTAACTTATTATGTATGAATATAAACACAAATACACAATATCGTTGTAATTATAATTTATTATTAGAGGCTAGAGCTATACAATTACAACAAATTACAATTATTATTATATGAAATTAATCAGTTACATTTTTAAAAACTAAATCTATACGTCTGTCTTTTTTTGTATAAACACTTCAATAACTTCTTCGTTAAAATTAGACATTTCATTTATTTATTTTATTTATAATAAGTCTATGGATATTATAGTAGTTATTAGTTGATTTGACTGCTGCAGTGCTGCACACTGGCGGCAGTTGATGGATACTGTACAATGATGCGTTATCGTTTCGACGAATGACACGATATCGCGATAGCGCGACAATAAAATAGGATCGATGTGCTCCAAATTGCCATGTATTACCGGTCGGCGTGTCGAGGCATGTAGCTAATTTTTATACGGCCGCCCGGAGCACAAACAACTTGTGCTCCGCGATATTATTTAATCGTTTATAAATATATTTCTTAACATAAAAGCTGCAAAAACTTGTTTTCATTAATATAAATATTTATATATTTTTTAATTACAGACCATTTGCATAATCATCAATTATATTATGTTATTATGGCATATAATAATTTTTTAATATAATTTTTTTGGGTGGTTCACGTGCTCCTGAGCACCATACCACGAGCTGCCACTGCCTACTACCCATATCAGTATATCGTATCATCGTATTTGAAAATAAAATACCTAACTAAATATTCAATAATTTGAATTTGTATGAAGTCTTGTCTTGTAAAGTCGGTCACACTATGACGATTATCGACATTGTTCGTTCTACTGTTCTTACTGTGGAAAATTCTTCTATTCTAGCCTCTAGGCCTAACAATTTACATTTACGGTCAACTGATTCGTTCAATAAACTAATGATAAAAAAATGTTTTGTCAAATGGAAAATTACGAGGCTTCCGGTTCAGTAACTATTGTTGACTACGATTCAGATTCGGGTAAACTGATAAAGAAGAAAGAACTAAAAGGATGATGATCCATTGAACGATATGAACGGGTCATTTGAACTGATAATTTGTGTGAGCTGATCCAAATGATCTGAATCAGTTAAATGAGTCATTCTTCCCAGTTCCCATCCCTACTCGAGGTGAGTAGTATATATTTGTATGTTCTGAGCACCTTTTTTAAAGGGAGATTTCTTCAGTTCAAGCGGAAATTTCTACATGCCCCACCGTGTAACACAAATTTTAATAAGTATGATAACAGTGTATGTGATTGTATAACACATCACATAACTGTGTCTATATCATTTGTTACACATACAAAATAAATATATTTTTTGCCATCAATGTATTACTCATAAGCGTTAGCAACACTGAACTTTTTTTATTCACACGTACTAAAATTAATTTAACTATACATTTCAGTATTTCAGTAACTAATAATCCGTTGTTAAACCAAGTTATGCTTTTTATTTTAATGTCTTGTTTCACTTAAACATTTATTTTTTAAGTAAGAATTTTCAATTTCAATTTTTTTTCTTTAAAATAAAAAACAAAACAACAACTTACAAAAAACTACCAGCGATTATTCTTCATTAGTTTCTTCAGTACGAAACAACCATGTCCAACATATCCGCAATATGTCACATTCACATCAAGATTAAAAACATATAATTTATACCCTTCAACTATACCTCAAAACAAATATGTATTGTCTGAACGCGGCTTTATATAAACATGGGTTCGAGATATTGTGGAATGCTTCTCTTGTGGACTTGTATTACATGACTGAAAGAAGGATGACATTCTATGGATCGAACACTCGAGACATAATTCCAAATGTATTAATGTATTATTATCGAAAAGTAACCACTTTGTAGAACACATAATAACCAAATGTGGAAGAACTTAATCTAATTGTGAAACTAAATATACCGCTCGCTCAACTGCTTAAACATATTAAAATAAAATTCTGTATAATGAATACATTTTTGAATTTTATTAAAACAATTTAAATGTGTTATTATTAAATTCTATATCTTGTAAATACGTGACCTAATGGATAAGAAGTAAAGTTTTTAAATCAATCAGGTTCAAATCTGGGTAACAGATGTTTGTTTAATTTAATTTACAGGTATAATACGAGATATATAATTAATAATAAGCCCCCCCCCTCCCTCCACACTTATCAATTAGGTCACGTATTTACTTTTTTGAAATTGTATATGACTTTTTTAGTATACCTAAAACGTTGTTGTATGAATAAAATATAATCAGTATACTATTAACACTCTGATAATCATAGTATAATTTTTTAAAACAATAATCACCAGAACGAACAAAATATATCAGTAAGTATTATAAGCTAACTATAATATGATTTCACCGGTTTTCTTAAGGTCAGAATTTGAAATTCGTCAATATGGAAAGAAAAGTGTAACAGTAGGTTCGTTAAGTTAACAAAAAGATTTCAATTGTTATAATATTGAAATGTAAAATTACTAAAAAGAGTTTGGGCCAATGGCTTTCATTAATGTGCGAAAATATTTATAAAGCAATTATTGATAATCTAAAAAACCGATTTAAACGTGTAAGAAATACTGATAACTTAAGCTATTCCGTTAATGTGAAACAGTCTTCAATCATATTTGTTGAAAGTGAAGCTTGACGGACTAATGATGTCAGCATTAATATAATAAGTAATAACACGACAATATGATTATGTATAAGTATAATATATAATAACGTACAACTGGACAATTAAACTGTGACAGTACACACATATTATCGTATACGCTCTGTACAACGACGCCTGTGCAAGTGAATATTACATACATCAAAGGCCCTATATATATGCACGACCGAGGTCATGTTACATCCGTGAAGAGAGTGAGTCTTATGCTCGTACATAACTAGTTACTATATTGTACACACGTGTCAAGGCTGACTACATGTACTACATATTAATTGTATATTTCAACAATATTACATTCTAATGAAAATTATATAACTTGTCACATGTTGATTTGCAAAGGCTGAATCAGCTTGGAGCTTGTATCGATCTCTATATAATCGAGGAGCAGACAAAATTACCATGTTACCAGAAAACAGCATATGCATTAAGGTGGCTGGAGCGTGATATGATTTAAGGAGTAATATTTAGGCATTTCATATAGCATTTATATTTAAGCTGTGTTACTGTGTGAGAAGTAAATGAGTATTAGTGTGTGTAATTCGTAAAATTCATAATCGCGTTCTCGTTTCACCGGGCGGCTCACTGGCCCGCATATCGACCACATTACGTATTCCCGGAACTAATGGCTTACGCTGATAATAGTATAGAATATATAGATACTTTTTAGGTATCTGTGATTACAATTAGTGATTCACTGATTTTGCATATTATAGTAGGGATACAATATGATTTTTAGTTAATGTTTACTAAACTGATAAAATACAATATAGTAGTAACGGGTTTACAAAATATTTATCGTTATAAAAAATATAAAATTATTTTATGTATTACTATAAAATAATTATAAAAATTTAATTTCTATATATCTATTAGGTATAAACTTTCATAACTCGTTACACTTATATCTTTGTAAGACAATAGATTAAATATAGGTATTATTGTAATTTTATCACTGGTAAGACATTTTTAATAAATGTACCTACCTCTAAAACTAAAACTAAAACTATAATAGTATTTTACTTTAATATTCATCTTTTATTAACTGTTTTAACAGAAAGTCCATATAAAATGTGGTAAGCTGAGTTGCCATTTTGTCATTCCAAAAACTATCGTCTCTTTTAATTTTCTCGAATAAAAATCCTATAAAATAATAAATTTAATTAAGTAGTATAAAGTAATTTATATAATTAGTAAATAAATATCGTATATACCTTTCGGTGTCCAAAAACAAAAATAACAATACATTCTGCGAGTAATGTGAAGTTGACCCTGCACTTGATAATAGTAATTATCTGTTCTTTTCAAATGCAATTTGTCATCTAATATTTTACAACTCTTTATTTTTTTACTATTTATTCCTTCTTCTGGAGTCATATCTTTGGCACTTGCTGGGCATTTTATTTCAACAAGTGAATCTGATCCGATCAATCCATCAGGAGATGCAGCTAAAAATGGCTGATTTAAATCTACTATCAACCCTGATGGTACAATTTTTTTATTGATTTTATTTTCCAATTGCTCGATGGCAATCATTTCATGCTCTATTCCGTACCGAGTTGCTGCATTTCCTTTAAAAGTTCCAAATAACATTTCATTTACAATATTTACACGTGAAGTAGATTCGCGTAATTTGCATAATTTGCCAAAATATGAAGCTGTTAATCTAAAGAGTCAAAATAAATAAATTAATTAAAAATAATTGTAGGACAATTTATATATATATATTTATAACTTTATACATACGTTAAGTACGACGTAATACTAACCGTTTTTTACGTTCTAAATGCCACTCATCACATTGATGTTGTCTCTTTGTCCTATCTTCTAAAGACCAAATTTCATTCTCCGTCAGTTTTAATTTATTTAAAAATGCCGTTTCTAATTGAGAGTACTCTGTGTCAGTTAAATTTGACAATGGGTCGTGGTCATTCACTACATTTCCGTATTCTTCATCTGGCCCGGCGGATGTATTTTTGGTCGATCGGTTTGTTGGCGTACTAAAAAGACGGCGACGTCTTCTCTGACATTTAGATATCTCATACTTTTTTATGTATCGCTTTGTAAACTGACCAGGACTTTTCGTAGTTACGTGTTTATTAAATATTGAGAGTCGGTTGGCTCCAGAATTATATGCGGTTACCGCAGCATTACACCTCAACTCATATGAACCTTTCAGACAAAAATTAACTCGCTTACCACCCACGAATTTAGCTAAGATAGAGTTATATAATTCAGCTGCATTATAACTGTAATTGTACATTAAACTTTCAATGTGATATACTAACACATTTCTCACTCTACAAATGTCATCCCAAAGTCCGAGTCTTTTTAAGTCAAGTACATGGTTTTGTTCATCTGTATGTATATATAAAAAAAAAACAGTGGTATAAGAATTGGTTTTAGTATTCGTCTTTTACTAATCGTATCAAAAAACTTATATCATTTGTAGGTAATGTGTAAGTACTGTAAGTATTACAATAATTGTATAAAATAAGAATTATTCAGATTATAGTTAATATCATATTAGGTATATATTATTTTATTATAATATTTCAAGAAAAAAAAAAACAAATTCGCTCTGCTGTATAGTAGGTGTGTCTATAGTGGATCTCGGTCATAGGGTAGATCAGTTAAATTTGAATGTAATAATGTTGGAACCATTGTATAAGAAAAAGGATCCTGAACAGAGATTATCTGTCAGCAAATATTTAACATATTTTTTATATACTGTATTAAATTTTAAAGATTTTTTGTCAACCATATTTTTTTCTACCAACACTTCTAGGACATATTTTAATAATCTGAAAAAATATGTTAATTTGATTTTACCTTTTTTTTTACCCTGGCAGAAATATTTAGAGCAATTGTCATGATCTCTAAAAACATGATTCGGTCCATTAATGACGTCCGTTTTCAGTCGTGCCAATTTTTCTTCGTAAGAAATAATTCCAGTTTCATTTTTCCTGAACCTTATAGCTTCAGTAACAGCATATCAAAGTCTCAGTAAATTGTTTTGTAATAATTTCCTAAGACATCCTGGTGTGGGATCACCGTTGGAATTTTTTCTTTTATTCGCAATGTCTCTTAGCTTATTAATGTAATTTCTTAATATATGATTGGTACATTCAATCTTTTTAATCATAATATCCGATCCATATGGTTTCGCAATACGCAATCGTTTTAGAACACTACTATCGACGTCGCCTGTAAATTTAAAACAATTTAATTGGTACATTATATTATGATCAAAGTACGTAACCTACATCAATGAATTACAAATATTTTAAAATATTTTAAATAAAAAGTGTACAATTGATTCATCACAATTGATCATTACAGACAGAAAAAACAAACACATTATTGTAAAGTAAATACATTCATTCATTACACTATAGGAATCTAAAATGATAATTATATTTAAAATGTTATCAGAAGTATTTTGTTGTACTTATTATTTAAAAATATTATTTACCAATTAACTGCGAATAAATTAGACCATGCATTGTTAAACTTTGCTTGAATCCATCAACAATTATGTCTGCTTCCATGGCTGTTGATGGAGCATTCCAATTTTTATAACATAAATGATTGATTTCATTGCCATTTTTTTTTTATGCGTTGCACACACAACAATATTTATTTCGGACTCCTATATACAGTATTTTTTTGGTTCTTGCTCCAACAATACAAGCCTGTAAATTCAATTTTACGCAATTATTTTGATAATAAATAAAGTTAGACTTATATTAATTTAAAATACGATTAATACATGCTAAACTATTTGAAATTATATTTCGTTCTGAATTACTTTTTACGCATTTAATTCGTAATCCTAAACTCTTATTATTTATTAATAAAGAACGGGCTTTATTATAATTAGTATTTATGTATGACATTTTGTTGTTGCACTTTTAGGTATGCATAGAATTAATATTTATACTCATAAATTAATTCTTAAACTTACTACTCCCGACAATGCATTGTAATTAGTTCTGTATGAACGCTTGCTCCATGCCCCATCTGCAATCACTGCAATTTTCGGACGACCTTTTAGATCTAAATCACCGTTTTCGATCGCTAATCTTCTTTCTTCTTGCCCTGCTAATTCCATTTCTTTCCAGGCTATGTCATGAACATACGTAAAAATTTCCGAATGAAGTTCTTGATATAATCGGTTGGACATATTTGGCATGTTTAATGTTGCAGAAAATTCGTCGAGTTGGCTGTACCCTTGACCAGCATTTACAGTAGCACTTACTATTGCCATGTTAATGTTAACATTTTCGCCTTTAAAATTTTCACCATCTATTTGTTCTTTTAAACCACACACTTTACAATTAAACTGAAATGTACTGTAGTATCCCTTTCTATTTTCTCTCACAAACTCTAAATCTCTAAATGAACAATCAAATCCCAAGTGTTGTATAGACTGTAAAGATTGAAAAATATGTTTGAGATCTACAATACGTCTGCCCTCTAATTTTGCCCATTGGTCATCATTAAACAACTCGTCATTTTCATGCTGTTTTTGAGGAGTTAAGAGTACTGTTCCGGCGAGGAAAATAAATAACAGTGGACTGTATAATTTTGTAATTGGTTTTATTTGCTAAGTAAATAAATTATTATAATTTATAAGTTGCTTGAAGTCTCTGTGCAAGTCTGCCTGGGTAGGTCTTGCTTCAGAGGCTCCGTTGAACACACTGCCCATTTCGTGCTCCGCACTGGCATTTATACCCTGGTCTCGCTCGCAGGAGCCGCCCATGAAATGTCTGTGGTTGGTGATTGGGCGGGGTTGAATGGCGGCGATAACGCTGGTTGGCCGCTGCTGCTCTCGAAGCCACGCCCACAGCGTTCTGTCGTCGTGTGCTTATTTATTAATTCTTTGACGAATACGCGGGTCATCAATAAGATTCGTTTGAGCAATTATGTAACTGTACATTATTGCAACCGGTGTCCCTTGTGACCGAACCGATCTGACCCGCGCCGTACATAATATATAGATCCGGCCGATACAGTCGTACGTCTCCCGACGTCAAATGTGCTTGGTGCAACATTTTATTCGTGACGAACGACTCACGATAGTGCCGACCGACTGTATTCCGGATCTCATCATATTATGCACACAACTAGTTGGCTGACTGCCCAGTGTGATGTCAGTTTTACATAAATATAATACCATTAAGAAATATAATAAGAAATATTATAGAATAGATACTTCGCGTGGCGCGAACATATTTCCCCCCGGCAAACTAAGGTTCATATTGGATAGGTAGCATTGCCAGTTTCGTAATTGGCAGCTTCATAGTGCTGCCCCTTGTTTTGATAGTAGCCACTCAAACCAGTCCATCAGCTCCCTGTTGTAGCTGAATGATCCTACCTAAGTGCCAGTCCAGAGGTGATTGGTGGCCCTCCTTTAGTATAACCAAATCTCCTATTTTGAAATTAGCCATGGGCCTTGACCAATTGGGTCCTTGCTGAAGAGAGGTAACATAGTCACGGCGCCAGCGCAGCCAAGATTTCTGAAGCATTCTTTGAACCAGATCCAATCTTCGTCTTGGATAATTTACCGTCGGTTCATTGAGCAGGGTCAGCTCTGGGAAAGTCGTTAACGGACGGCAATTAGAAAGTGCCCTGGTGTTAATACCTCCAGGCAGTCAGGATCATCGGAAACTGCCATCACGGGTCTTGAATTCAGCACCGCTTCAATTTGCACTAGTAGTGTGTGTAGCTCCTCGAAATAAGGTATACTGTCTCCGATGCATCCTCATTCCTCGCAGATGGTATTTTGTTGATTGACCTCCGGCTTCCATAGGCCTCCAAAATGGGGGGCATGAGGAGGAATAAATCGCCAGTCTATCCCTTCTTGGTGTGAGTATTCTAATATCCCCTTACTTAGAGAATTATTGTTTAGGAACCCACCCAATATTCTGTTGGCTCCGATAAAATTCGTTCCATTGTTGGAATGGATTTAAATCAGCCTTCCTCTGCGAGATATGAATCTGCGCAGTGCTGCAAGGAATGTCACGCTACTGAAGTCTGATACCAGTTCTAGGTGAATGGCACGAGTGCTAAAGCAAACGAAAGGTGCCTTGGTGAGGACCCTGCTCCTTATTTCTCCATGCCTTATGGATATTGGACCAGCGCAATCGAAGCCTGTGACATAAAATGCTGGAGATGGGTTCACCCTGGCGGCTGGCAAAGGTCCCATCAATTGAGCCGCCGCCCTGATTTGCCATCTGCAGCACTTCATACACCTGTGCGTGTGAAGACGCACTGCATTTCGTCCACCGAATATCCAATATCGCCGCTGGAGTGAAGCCAATAGGTGTTGGGGTCCAGCGTGCATCAATCGTCGATGATCGTAATCGACTAGCAGCCTTGTGAGTTGATCATCGGCATTGAGTATAATGGGGTGGCGTTCATCAAAACTCGCATGCGTATGTTGTAACCGGCCACCAACTTGCAGGATCCCAGCTGCATCAATGAATGGGGTCAGAGACCTCAGCTTACTGCTGGTTCGGATATGTTGACCCCGAGCTAACAGGTGCATTTCTTCCAGAAAATACCACTTCTGAGCCTGTTTTAGAAGTACATTCAGCGTGCCTTGAAGCTCGCCTGCAGTTATGGGTCCATACATGGATTCGTTTTTCGAGCGGCAATTGTACTAAAATCGCAAGCAACATGCGATTATTCGCTGTAGCGTTTCTAATTGGTTATACAACATTGCCGTGTTGAGGTCCGTAGATACCTTCAAGGAGATGGTGATTTGAGATCTGCGTTCAGGGATCTCTGATTGCAACATGGCAACTTCAGCGTTAGGCCATTGCTGTTCATCTGCCTGGAGCCAGAGAGGTCCATGCCACCATGCGTTGCAATTTTTTTGTTTTTTTGTGGATTTAAGCCTCGGCTGAAATGGTCGGCCGGGTTGTCATTGGTGCCTACATGGTGCGAAGAATAACTGATGGTGCACTCCTGAATCTCTGCTACTCTGTTTGCTACCTTGGTGATTTTTTAATCCATGCCAGGGCTATGGTAGAGTCACTCCGGATCACACGTTTTGAAAATGTAAGCGGTACAGCTGCGGTGATCTTGTTTGCGAGACACGACGCCAGTAGAGCAGCGCAGAGTTCAAGGCGTGGTATGGTGGTAACCTTTAGTGTTGCTACACGGGATCGTGAGCATAACAGTTTACAGCTGATGACATTATCTCTGCCCTTGCTTTTAATGTAGACACAGGGTCCATATGCGGCTTCTGATGCATCGCAGAATATGTGCAATTGAAGATCAGTGGGCTCACTCACTTGGATTACTCGACGGGGTATTCGTATTTCCTTTACATATATGAAATGGTTGTAATACCCTTCCCATTTTTTATGGTGGTCATCTGGTAGCTTGGTGACCCAACCAATTTTTTCGCGCCACTGTTCACGCACAAGAATTTTGCTTGAACCACCACTGGCCCTATAAGCCCTAGAGGGTCGAATAATCTGGCCATTTCAGAAACCATTCTACGCTTTGTCCATGTGTTGGTGTCATTGAACAATCTCGTAATGTAATGTATTTCATCGTCACGGGGTTGCCAATATGTGCCCAATGTTTTTGTCGAGCTGTTGTTTTGTTCGTGAGTGAACTTATGAATTTCTCAGGGATCCTCCAGAGGGAGGTTTTTCAGAAGGGAAGGATGGTTTGCGCAACACTTGCGGAGTTTAAATTTGCCGCCATCACATAATTGGATCAATTGATCTCGCAGTTCTAAAGCTTCTGTCAATGTATCAGTGCCGGTCAGCACGTCATCCACATAAAAATCCTTGCTGACGGCTGTGGCTGCTAATGGGAACTTGAAACCGTCATCATGAGCGTGGGTTCGAGTGGCCAAGTAAGGGGCTGAAGAAGTGCCGTAAGTAACCGTTTGCAACGTAAAAACCTTTAAAGGTTGTTCCGGATTCTTCCTCCAAAATATCCTTTGAAGGTGAGTCTGTGATTCCATTATTCTTATTTGTCGATACAATTTTTCCATGTCCCCGGGGAAAACATACCGGTGAATCCTGAACCGAGCAGTGATTGCAAAGAGATCGTCCTATACACCACTCGGAGCTTCGTTGTTTCGCTGTCAGCCTTGATGACGCTATAGTGCGGCAGGAATACCTTCTGCTGATGCGCCTGGCCTGATGTAGGGTCTTCCTTCATATGACCAAGGTTAATGCACTAGCGCATGAAGTGGACATATTCCTTGTGTAGTTTGGGGTTGCACTGCTGATTCAGGAATGACAGATATTCCTGTATTAAAGGAAGTGAGGCGCTGGAACGGCTACTTTCCCATAAACGGTGGGATTCGACGTCTAATTTTTCTACCATTAGGTGGATGATTATGGCGTCCCAACGTTCTACCGGAAGTTTGAGGGCCGTCAACGCTCGCAGGTGACTATTTATACCGTTCTGGTGACTTCTCAAAATGGATGATGAAACCTTCGTTATTGATGGCATGCTGCACAGTGCGTGGATGTGCCCTCCGGCCATTTTACGATGGTTGTCATATCGCTCACGCAGCTGCTCCCAGGCGGGTAAATAGTTCGCAGCTGTTGTCTCCAACGATTCGATGACTTGTGCCACTTCATTTCGCAACGAGGGTTTGAGATAGTGCAATTTCTGAATTCCGAGAGGTCCTTGTTCCGTCAAAAACCGGCAATGAGATTGGCGGTAGTCTGATGGGCAGTCTTATATACTCTGCTGCGCTTTGGCTTGCTCTCCTTAGATTTGTTTGAGCTGCCTCAGGAAGAACCATAGGCGGTGATATTGCTGCGTAGTAGGCTGTTTCTACAGCTGAGCGTTCTGCCAGCTGCTCTTCACGGGAATCCAATAACTCTATCTGAGTTTGACCAGCGAGGAATTCCCCGTAAGAAGCTTCAAGTCTCATGGTTCACATGATACATGCTTGGTTCCATTCTTGTTGATGCATCTGTGAAGTTGTTGCTGTCAAAGAATTTTTGAAAAGCAATGATTTGCCTTTTCATAACTCCCCGACGACCGATGAGATCTTTAAGTTCGGCAGCCATTTTAATCCGGTCCGAAGATGACCAATGTTCCGGCGAGGAAAATAAATAACAGTGGACTGTATAATTTTGTAATTGGTTTTATTTGCTAAGTAAATAAATTATTATAATTTATAAGTTGCTTGAAGTCTCTGTGCAAGTCTGCCTGGGTAGGTCTTGCTTCAGAGGCTCCGTTGAACACACTGCCCATTTCGTGCTCCGCACTGGCATTTATACCCTGGTCTCGCTCGCAGGAGCCGCCCATGAAATGTCTGTGGTTGGTGATTGGGCGGGGTTGAATGGCGGCGATAACGCTGGTTGGCCGCTGCTGCTCTCGAAGCCACGCCCACAGCGTTCTGTCGTCGTGTGCTTATTTATTAATTCTTTGACGAATACGCGGGTCATCAATAAGATTCGTTTGAGCAATTATGTAACTGTACATTATTGCAACCGGTGTCCCTTGTGACCGAACCGATCTGACCCGCGCCGTACATAATATATAGATCCGGCCGATACAGTCGTACGTCTCCCGACGTCAAATGTGCTTTGTGCAACATTTTATTCGTGACGAACCACTCACGATAGTGCCGACCGACTGTATTCCGGATCTCATCATATTATGCACACAACTAGTTGGCTGACTGCCCAGTGTGATGCCAGTTTTACATAAATATAATAAAATTAAGAAATATAATAAGAAATATTATAGAATAGATACTTCGCGTGGCGCGAACAAGTACTGATGTCACATTATTTTGGAAATTATCTTCCGGTATAATTTGTGAATTTGTTGTATTCGAAGAAGTTGATGGCGTTTGACCAATACAATTTACCTACAACAATTTATAACTTTATAAAATATTGATTGAATAAAAAATGTGGATACGTGGCTATAGTTCTGCTGTACAGTATACTGTAACCTATAACTATAACCTATATGTTATAAGTTAGTTATTTTAGTGAAAGGTATTCAATTTTATTCAATGATATAATATCATTGTATATTAAAACAATTCTGAGCGAAGACGGTTTGTCGGCCAATTGGCAATTTGTATTACCAATTTTTACCTATTTATTTTACTATTAGGCTTAGTCTGTATAAGAAATAAATAGGGCTCAGATTTAAATGCTCTAAAAATATAAAAAAAGATCCCTTTTAAAAAAATGCGTTTATGACCTAAAAACTTTAAGAAATGCGCTAAAAGTATAAAAAAAGGCCTTTCAAAAAATTCATTATTAAATAAATTTAAATTATTATTAAAAACGAAGTTATATTTGTTATATACTGTGCAAAAAAAATTTTAAATAAAAAAATTAGTTACAAATTAAATTACATTTGCATTGCACTGTAATGAAAATTTATATTACGTACGTAGTACCTACCTACTTTATACTACTATGTGGGTAGTACTTATATTCAATGAGGTCAATTGTTTAGTGATGATACGAGAAATAGGTAAAAAATGTCCTAAAGTAATAATTGGTGCATTTGAGAGGTCAAAATCTCAATTTTCCAGTAGTTTTCAAAAGCGCCAGAAAAAATAAAAATAAAATAAGGAAAAACGGTAATTTTTACGAAAAATCGATTTTGGGTGTCGGTGTAAGACTAAAAAAATTATCGTAGTTACATGCAATTTTCACTGACTGTTTCTATTAGCATTTTCTATACTCTATACAATTTTCAAAATAATTCAAATATTTTAAAAGTATTTTGCAATTTTCAATTTTTTTCGTTTTTATTTTTTCTATAAATGTCAATAAAATTGTATTTTTGTGTAAATAAGATTCAATGTACCTACTCCTAATATATTGCTACAATGGCACTTAAAAAATAATAAGAATACATAATCAATAAGAATACACAATTTTTATAAGCTTTTAAAGTTAAAATTTTGACAAAATACGTAGAATCACAGTTATAAAAGTTAAACATTTTATAAATTTTTAACAACTAAAGAATTTTTAAATTTTCAATCAAACAAATTTTGTCAAAATTTGAACTTTAAATGGTTATAAAAAAAAATCGTGCCTATGTATTTTATTGACGTTTATAGAATAAAAAACTAAAAAAACGGAAAATTTCAAACGTCTATAAATAACTTAAAAATTGTTGAAATATTTTGAAAATTTTATCAAGTATAAGAATTGATGAAATAAATATTTGGTGTAAATTATTTGTTTATATATAACAACAAAATAAGAATAGTGAATATCTAATATTGTAATTCAAATGCTCATAAAAGTTTAATTTGACTTTTCGGTAGAAATTTTTTATTTGATAAAAGTAGACAAACTTATGAAGAATTTCGTATAGAATTTTCAAACCTTAGATTTAAAAAGAAGAATTTTTTGAATTTCTAACTCAAAATAAATTGCAAATTTTCGTGATTTTTACGTATTTTGTCAAAATTCGAACTTTCAATACTTATTAAAAAAAATTATGACTGTGTATTTTTAATATTTTTTAACTACTATTATGACAATATATTAGAAGTCTTGTATCAAATTTTGAAGCTTTTTTACCCAACGAATAAAATTTTATTTTCATTTATAAAAAAAAAACACACAACATAGTTAAATCAATACATTCTTCGTTCCGCTCAGAATCTAAAAATGAATTAACTAATATTATTAGAGCATGTTCATCATCTCAGGAGTTATATCAATATTTAATTAATCAAATATAAAATCCAAATACAAATATCCCCATATATTTTGAATTAATATTTAGAATTTTCAGTATGATTATATTATCATCCAATAGTTAATTAATACAATAGATTTGTAATATATTTTATACTTACTTTTTTAAATCTATTTAGGGAGTTAATATTTCCTTTGTTCCTCTTTCTTTTGGATAAAAGAGTTTTGGTTTTTTTTCCATAACGCCAGTCTTTTTTACTGTCCATAGTATCGAAGATATCAAATATTTATTCCACAAAACAAATCTCTCACTAAGGACTGCACATTAGTTTCAAACAACAGCAGACGTCTGACTAATCGAAATTCGAAATTCGAAAATCAAAATTAGAATATTACTTTTACTGCCCGTAGAATAATAAGTACCAACAACCGGTGGCGGACCGAAACAGTTGAGCCAGACGATAATTTATTAATTATTATTATAGGTATTGTGCCCACCGCCACCGGCTCACGTTTTCTTATCTTACATTATATTCCAGGAATATGATGGCAGTTTATTTTCAATTAGTACCTATCGCCAAATTCGCCGAGCCGATACATTTCCGCACTCGCAGGCACATGTCAATACTATAGATTTTGTCAAATAAACATCACACTATTTAAATGACAAAAAGCTAGACAAAATTGTGGGAGTTGGATTAGACGGATTTTTATTTTGAAAATGGATATTAATTAGTCATTATGTTAGTTAGGGAATGGTCGAGGGGATTTTCTTTATAAAAATTCTTCGATAAAATATTGACAATTTAAAAAAATAAGAATTTTTGTATTTTATATATTTAGTACTCCATTATTTTTTGTAATAATGATAAATTTCCACGGCCATGCTTTAGAAGAGTTGTTGAAGATTTTCAATTGGTTTTCAAAATTAAAATCCGTCAAACCCAAGTCCCACAGTTTTGTCTAGCTTTTGGCCTGTTTTACGTGATAATTTGTACCTGCTCCAGCCCCCTTAATTATGGCAGATATTAACGGGTTACCCTCTTCTTGTCGACGGAATGAATTTACAAGCTCATATATTCAGAATTATAACTTAAGTTATACTTATATAGAAACTAATGATATTTCTTTTATGTATGAATTATTACAATATCATTATAATATAACCCATTATCAAATATGGTATTACAAGAGTTAGAGTTAGTTACATCAGCTATTAACCTGTAATTTATTCAATTTAATTTTAATTTTCAACAACCATTAAAAACAGATTTATTATGATTTTGATTTTTTAATACGTCCTATTTTCTTTTTTGGATCTGACATGAACCGTGTGAATATTGTTTGTATGATGTTTGATATCTATCTCTATATGTCTCAACCTTTGTTCAATTCGTTATTTAATATTCGTTGTGTGGTGTTCAAAATGTATCTTAACTTTTCCGTTGCCCCGAATAAAAATTCTGATTCGCAGCAGTACACTATCAAGTAGATCGGTAGATTGCGGACCCCGTGCAGTTTGTACATAAGTGTATGATTTAACTCTAAACTATCAAAGTTATACCAAGTTTGTCGTTTTTACTTAATTCCATCTACTTTAGATTAATATAATCAATTTATACAAAATCCTATCCTAACCTAACCCTACTAAAATCTGATGAATAAAAAAAAACAAATTGAACACTATAAATTTATCTATATTCTTCCCAGAGGTCTAATCTACCCACAAACATTAATTTATATATATGTTAGCGGTAATGTATGTAATACGTTATTTTATTAAATAACTAGTTATTCTATAAAATTCCTAAATATGTTCGTTAATATATAAATTACATGGTTTTA